GAACTAAGGTTGTGAGGTGTTTTTTCTTAGTAATGGCTGCAAAGATTATTGACTTTTCTAAAAATAATTAATAAGCCTTTTAATACCCAACAAAATAGCCACAGAATTTATGATTTTGAAGGCAAGAACTAAGGTTGTCAGGTGTTTTTTTTCTTGTTAAGGGCTGTCAAGATTATTGACTTTTCTGAAAATAATTAATAAGCCTTTTAATACCCAACATTTCATATCCAGTCCATCATATTTTATTGGCCAAGAGAGTGACGAATTGTTTGGTACATTTTATTGAATTAAATACAAAAATAAAATAAAATGCCTTGTGTCTACTGGAACTCTGCTCCCACATGTAAGAGTTATTTCAATTACCATAATAATTTAACTTTGTTCGACTATTGATATGTTCCAAATATCAAATTCGGTCCGTTCCAAATACCAAACATACGGGTGCAACGAGATTAAAGAAAAATGCACTTTGTTGAAACATGGGCATCAAAACATTTTCAAAATCATTGTTCCATCAAGAGGAAAGGTTGCCTCTAAGATAAAATTAGGGCAGATATCTTGGGTGAACAAATAGCCATGACAACATCCTTGGCATCCCTACGTAGTTTCTTTGGCATGGAGTCCAAGTTTTGGCCCAATTACCAAATTTGAAGTCTACAAAATATAATAATACACCTCTTCATAGGTTTCTTTTTTTTTTTTTTTAGCGGGAATGATCTTAATCTATAACATATAGGAAATGATTCTTGAACTTTTGTTCTTCCGTTCATTGTTTATCCTCTCCATTTGTAAATGAGCATCTCAAGGACAATCGTCACGTTCACTTTCATGAAATTATCTTTTTCAGATAAAAAAAATCGTACATCTCAAAAATGAAGGGGCCCCACTTTAAGGCGAGTGTAAATGGGCAGGGCAAAAGTCCCCGAGAAGTTACGGCACTAGAAAATACTCATTGCTTTGCTTGTTGGGAAGGTGGAGTCACACCAATAGGGTCCATTCACCCTAATTCTTTTGTGCACTTCGTGGAAGAATTTTTGAGACAACACGATATTTACTATGCCAATTTTTCTTTCTTTTGTCCACTTCGTGGATGAATTTTTGATTCAATACTATCGAGACTTACTATGCCAACACAATATTTTTATTTTCAAATTGTTTGGGACAAATACAATTAGCTCGCAGGCAAGTGGGCATTTTTGGTCATGGACAATTCAACTTTGTGGACCAATGTTCTTGGTCAATTCTTTTCTCTAGTCGTACTAAATGGTGAGGCGACCAAGACCTACGTATTGGCCTATTGAGGCTTTTTTGTAATTTCTTCTTTGTCCACTTTTTGTAGACAACTATTTGGTTCAAAAATTTGGCCTACCTCAAGACTATGAGCACGTCCAACACGTCTAGAAAGTGTTTATAAATAATTTAAATAATAAATAAATAGAATTGATGTCTTGTTTGAGCTCTATTTTTACTGTAAAATATATTTTGAAATAGTATATTGATGAAAAATGTGTTTTTAAAAAATAAGGAAAAATTTTAGATTTGTTTGTAATATTATTTTATTCAAAAATATGTGATTGAAAAGAAGAGATAGAAAAAAATACATTTTGAAAAAATAAAAATCAAACGGTGCATGTAGTGCGTGTGCTTAATTAAAAGAAAAATTAATAGGAATCGTTTAAGAGGACTGAATTGCCATTTTTTTAAAGCTTGGGAACAATAATTAGACAATTTTGATTGGAGATGGGATTGCAAGTTCATCCAAAGGTTGGGGACTAAGTTTAATTTTTAACCTTTATTTTAATTCGCAATCCATTCCACGTCCTGTTTCTCAAATTATTTCTCCATTATTTGCTTTTTCTTTTAATAACTCCCATACACTTCGATCGGGTCTTATCCATCAGTAGATAAAGCTTTTATAGAAGTCGGGCTTAGAGGGAAGTTATAAGCATTACATTCGTGCATAACTTACAATCGTTACACAATTAGTGCACGTCGCTACTTATGCAACAATGAATTTTGAAGTTACCGATAGTCCCATGACATCCTTCTATAATAAATAGTTGATGTACTGAATAAGCGAGTCATCGATCAAATCAATGAGACAATGTACGAAATAGGCTGTTAACATAAACGTTTATATTATGTTATGTACAACGGTTGAGTCCATATCCCAAAATTAATAACTAACTATTTGACAACATGACAAGATCAAAATATGTGCACTCCCTCGTTATCTATCCAGGGGATGGAAGGTTTTCCTTCAAATTTATTTTTAAAATGATTCACAATTTTTATTAATATATTAATTGTTTATTCTAACAAATTTTATTAAAATCTACAAAAAAAATTAGCTTTGATGAGGTTAAGGGTGTGCTTAAGCGACATTATTTTGGAAGAATATAAGATTGATGGAGAATATGTGCTTGAAAAAGAAGGAAAAGTTATTGATGTGATGAAAAATATTATTTTATTGAAAAATGTGTGGTAGAAAATGAGTAGAAAAATGAGAATGAAAAAAATAAAGTGTACCAAACAAGGGCTAAAATCAAATTTTTAATAGATTTTGATAAATGTTGATAAAATGTATAGTTAAAAAATAGAATTTCGCTATTTTTACATTAAAATGGTACATAAACGATTACCGAAAATGACTTGAAGGGAAAATATTGAATAAAAAATTAATTATATTTTAAATTGACAAATAATAGAGCATCACCTCACATTATGTACCTCCTGTATATTTTGACGTAAATCACATGTAACAAGATTCCAATTGTTATCCCAAAACAAGGGCTCAATTATTCAACTGTACAAACTCTGCAGGTTTAAAAAAACAAAAAAAAGAAACACTCGAAAACCCTAATCCGAGTCCTTAACTCAATTTCGATCACCACTTCCGATTCTATGGACGACGGCACTGCGATTAAGGCAAATAAGGACAAGCCGGTCATTGTCAGGGTCAAAAGAAAAGCTTCCCAGTCTCTCCTCGATGCTTTTTGTGAGTTCTGGGTTTAGTTTTCAATGTTTTGCTTATCTTTATTAGTGTGGAAGACATGGCTAGCTTGAAGCTAATTTTTGGTTTATTTTTCTTGCATTTACGTCGATTAGGGCTAGAGATTAATGAGAGGCCAATAAAGCGCCCGCTGCTTGACTTTGAAAAGTTATCAATCTCTGGTTCTTCTTCTAGTAGAGGTATGTGAAAAGTTATCAATCTCTGGTTCTTCTTCTAGAAGATGTAGGTGAAGCTTCCCATTTTTTACTTTGTATAACTTTTTTTGGTCTCTTAATGGGAACTCTAGAATTTTTTGCGTAAAAGATTGTAATTTGACAGAGCTTTTAGTGCATTATAAATCTAGTCAACCTTATGACGTTTTCTAATACAATCAGGACTGGAATTGGAACTAGCTTATGTGTAAATTGTCATTCACTGTTCACATTTCCTATAATCGATGGTGTGGGTGGGGCTGAGCGGTGGAGGACGGTTTCAGTGGCAAAATCAAGGGTTCTTTGATAAAAATCCTCTTCTGGTATAAGTCACAAGGAGAAAAGCCAGTAAGGAAAAAAGGTTAAAAATAAGAAGAAAGAAAAAGAGCAATGAAGCGTACTGGCAAGACGAATAAAGGATTTATATTAAATTCGTATCTTAAATTTACATGTTCTATACTGCCAGCTTAGTATAAATTTTTAAAAATGCGTTTGATGTTTCAACGAGCCTGCTACACTAATGCCCAACACATGAATTAGTTTTTTATGGAGTAAGTGATTAATTAAAGCATTGGTTGGACAACTTTTTAATATATTCTTCAATGTGATTGGTCATAGAACATTTCTCTGTTTTCTTTGTGGTTTTGAAATCAATAATGGTTGCCTGGTTGGGAGACACGACAAAATGCATTTAATACTTGGCAATGAGCAGTTTCCAAGCAGGCATGTGATTAATTCCTAACACAATGCGCTTCTTTGACATTTTCAAGTGGAGGAATTGAAGACCAAAAAGGTTCTTGTACGCCATGTGGAGACAGTAATTACCTCGGAGGTCACTGTCGATGTGCTACGATCTTTTGTGGTACGTCAGCTAATATTATCTGTGTTTCCTCACTATATGTATGTGGGCAGTTTATGATGCGATGTTTTGATCTGGGTAGCACTGATTTTTTAGTTTGTGTGCGATGTACATTTTTCGGTTTGCTATCCCATTTAAAGATATATCCGTTATGGATGCTGGCGATGAAGTGGTTGTAACTTGTAAGTAGTCTAACTCATTTTGTTGGTTGAACAGCCTAATTCATCTGATGCATTGGAACTTAAAGAGAAAAATGGAGGAAGAAGATGCACTTTGAAGACGGAGAATGTGAGTTATTTATCTCTCCCTCCTCATGCACCATTTATGCTTCCATTTTCTCATGTCCTGAATTGCTCTAGTTTATTCTAGTTCGTATGTTTGAAATGTAGAAAACTTTCCTTGCTATTCCACCCGTTTACATAAGCAGATTATAATTTTTTTTATGAAATCTGTTGATGTCAAAAAATGACGAGGTCGATTTTTGTCAACTTAATTGATAATTTGTAAAAGGTAAATTGCTGAAATAGTAAAAGAGAAGAATTTTTGGTATTGACTGAGTAATTTGAAAGTGTGTAAAGATAGTATATTTTGTTCAGTCCAAGGGGAGGGCCATTGCATTCCTTTTTATAGGCCTAAAATGAGCAAGTTGGCCGCCCACCATCCAATCAGCTGCAATGCTGCTCTTTAACATGTGTGCTGTCGACCTGGCTCTGATTGGCATTTGAGATCGGCTTCTACAGGTCATGATGATGTTAGTATGGTGGGTCATCATTACAAACCTGTAATTGGTCAAGATTTTGGTGCCATCATTATGATTGCCACTTGTCATCGCAAGAATGGCCCTAAGAAAGGTAGTGATGTCAGCTATGAGGTGAGCGGAATCAGAGGTAATGATGATGTTTCTAGGATGACAGCGGTACATTCCGACCTCAAACCTTTTTAACCGAGCTGACCTCGAGACTCTGTAATTAATCCTTTATGAGATGCTGCAGTTAAATACCTAGCTTGAAATTAACATAATCTGGATTTTATCTTTGTAATTTCGGTGGTCAACAAAATCAAAGCAAGAGGGATTATGTTCATAAAAGAAAAGAGATCTCTTACTTCGCTGGAAGTCCATCAAAGCAAGTGCTCAATGTGTCTGCTATTTAGTCCAGAAAAAAGCTAATGAGACTACCTGGTTTTAGTGAGAATATATAATTGTTCCTGCAAAACCTTCCACCCCTCTCATGGGAAATAAATTGACCAAGATACCACAAGCTAGATACTAGAGTCAGCAATTTGCGTGAATAGAGAAAATCATTAATTTCTAAAATGGTCTAGCTATGCTAGCAGCTGTAGTCATTCAACACTAGAAAATAGAGATTGTAAGCTGATTCTTTGAGGTGCATTACTATAAGTTTTCAGGAGGGCTTTGATTGGGACGGAATGCTGGTTGGAGGAGGAGCCCAGGAGATGAAGTATTGTTATTATTCCTATGCATCAAAGCTGAGAATTAATTTTTGTGGTTTGGGTTGAGATCTAGGGGGTGCAGTGCTAAATGAAGGAAAAATGGGATGGGGGAGTGTGATGTAAGGTAGTGGAGAAGAACAGGTTATGAGATTATTTATGCCAAATGTTCCATTAAGAACAGTCTTAACGTCGTACAATAATTTGTCAAAATGGTATTGCCCCATTATTTTAATCACTCTTTTGTGACTTTAGTGCTTTCACATTTTTATTGTTGAATAAAATAAATCAATTACTCCCTTCAAACAAATAGGAAAAGAGAAAAGAAAAATCAAGTTGATGCCTATCTTCTGTTGTGACCCAGCCGTCCATTGTTGAACACCGCCACTACCATTAGCACTTGAACTTAACAGAAGCTTATTCCCCTGCTGAACTCATAAATAATATACAACACTGACCGTTTGATTTTCTGCAAGTGTACAATATCGCGAGCAAGTAATAACGTGATGAATAAAGTATCATTCTCACGAGGACTATGTACTTAATCTAGTATCAATTAATGTCAATTTTAATCGAATAGCAAATTTTGTTGAAGAATTTATGCTAAATTAACTAATTAAACTACTTATTCTAGTGAAGCGTTTGTAAATACAAATTAGATGATACTAATATTTTGAATCCCCCTTATTAATCCATTTTAATACATTTCAATAAAATGACAATATGAGTATATTCTTGTTGATCAATGTTTCTAAGTTAATTAAAAGCATCTCTCGATGTCAATTAAGTCTATTCTCTTATGTCACCTCCTTATATCTTTATGAAATATTCGAATATGAAAGTTTACATTAAAAACACTGGAACATTTATAAAAATCATGCAAAGTATAGTAATATATCTTTATTCCCCATCGAACTTTGCAATGATTGTTATAATGTGCTTTCTATCATATTATTTCCGTCAAAATCAATAAAATTCACAAACAATCCAATTAATGATCAAGTAATTGAAAAATCATTAAACTTATAACAATCATTCAAGAATAAACACGTATTGGGCGTCAAATTATCGAATTTAAATTATAACATCATTGCAAGATTTCATCTACATCGTAGTAATTGAAAACCTAACCCAATGAAGGAGAAGACGGATTTTGAAATTTTGAATCTCTTCAATGGTTTTTTGATGAAACTCTAATATATTTTTTTGTTGTCTCTCCAAAAATCAAGGCTGCAACTCTAGTTTCTTGAAAACTTGTGATTGCCCTTTAATTCTCACAAGAATAATGAATTGGCCTTTCTTTGATTATGTTAAGATTATGTTAATTGATGAATTTTGGTGTATGAGAGCTATATGAGAGGTTTATGAGAGGTGTATAGAGGTGAAATTAAATAAAAAATTGTGCAAGAAAGTGTTTTCATGTAGAATTTTGGAAGAAAAAGGAAACAGTCTGTGTTTGTCAGTTGCCTAGGCATAAATTTTGCCTTCTGCCTTTGATTTCTCTAGCCGGGAGACCGTCCGGCTTTATAACGGGGAGTTGCTAGTTATACCATCTTTCAAAATTTGCACTTTGGTTCCCAAATTCGATTCTTGATTCTTTTAAGTCATTTTCTCTTACAATCTTTTTATTTTAACTTCTAATTGCATTCAATTGAACCCGTAACATCTTCAATCTTCATTTTATGGTCCGAATAAACTATTGTAATGTTACAATTTAGTCCCCATACTTTGGATTTCTCTATTTTTCTCTTATTTCTTCCAATTCCACTTCTGATCATCGAGTTTTCACTTATTAAACGAGATATACAATAAATTAGTCTATATTTCATAATTTTCATTAAAAGGACTACGAACTGTCACTATTTTAAGGCTCGAATAAGTGTATAAAATATACTTACCATACAACACCTTAGCTGATGGAGGCTCGTGCAAGCAAAACTGGGTGGATAAAATGGAGATACCATCATGGCTATCTTACTTTAAACTGCCCAGTTGCCGCTATCAGTTTGACCACCAAATGTCTTTTTCACAAACACTGCCCTAAAGAGAACTCGTAAATTTTGTAGTAACAACTGGGGCTATTGGCGCCTTAATTGTGATTGACAGAAGCCTCTGGGATGGGCTGGGGTTGTGGTGTAGGTAAGTGCGGCAAGGGGAGAAGGAGGCAGAGGGGTTGATTTCTGAAGGAACTTCAAAGGTAGAGGGTTAGATAGTACTGTTGGTTGTGGGGATAAATAAATTGAATTGGAGGTGGCAACAGCTTTGTAGGTGAGGAATTGGCGGTGGCAACAGGATGTAATCCAGTCAGGTGTTGTATATGTGCAAGGGAACCATGCCATTGGAGAATTCAGGAAGGAGGGCATTAAATTTGAGATTGAGGGAGTAATAATTGAAAATGATATGATCTTGGCCTGAGCCTGTAGATTGAAGGTTTGTACGCAGAGTTCTGTGAAGAATAATCAATTCCATGCTTCTCATGATTATGTTTTATGTGTTTGTGCATAGATATTTCATCTACATGTATTGGGCACCCAATAATTGCTGCTGTCTCAGATTCGCATGAGGCGGAGTAATTCGTGTTCACTGTGTTGTGAGTGGCTCTGAACCCCATTCTAAATGCTTATAATTTATATTATAACAGACATGTATTCTGGCACTGCAACAACATGTGATTTGCTGATATTCAGGACTTCAACCTATGACAAAGGTTGATATTGCACTTTTTCTGAAACATTATGCTGATACTATTCTAAGATGTCGCCAACTCAGTATAAGGTCATCCTTAATGATGGTCTGTTTTCAATTTTAACCATAATGTTCTATCTTTAACCATTTCGAGGATTTGGTAGACCTAAATCTCAAATTGGTTGTTGCAATTTGAGTACACTGTTCATTTAACTATTTGTCACAGTATAGATGTATGAAGGAAAAAATTCTCATTTAAAGATCAACATATTGTTTTGGTGCCTCAAAAGATAATCAAAAGTGTGATATACTTTGAGTAACTAACCTTAGCATTTTCTATTTAACTCTGCAGAAACAGGAGCAGTTGCTCGTCAAAGCAAGACAAAGGCAAGAGGTACATTGTACGTGGGAATATTGATTTCATCATTTTCACTACTCAATTTTAAAAAAGCTGGAATCATCTACGTTTCAGTTCTCATGTAGAATATGTTAGTAATTTAATGTCTTTCTTCTTAGCATGGGTGTTATCTATCTGGAAATACCAAGGCCTAGTAAAGAAGACATATTGCGTGAGAATACCACAATACGTTAATGGATATGAGTAGAGTTAAAATTTGCGTTCTCTTTCCTAAACTCATCAAAACAAGAAAGCAGATTTTTCATTCTCTTTCCTCTCTTCTCGTCTTACTGAGATTTCTGCTTGCTTATAATAGTTTATAGGTTATGATCATTGCATGCCACTAAATGTTTCTCTTGTCTTTATATTAAAGGCTGGCTGAAATTTATGATGCAACGACCTTATTTTGGTCCAGTGTCAGTTCAAAGCCTTTTAACAGTCCTCCCTAAGTCCTTCCCTACCCTACCCTACCCTCCCAGACCAAACAAACTCAATAAGTTATGCATTAATGTTATTATATGTTTCTATTTTTTTTTTCATCTCTCAAGGTTTTATCAAAAAATGCTCGTTTTGAGCAAATATGGAGAAGCCGAAAGGGAAAGAAGGAAGCCGTAGAAGATGAGGCAGTACATGAAATGTATCGGCTCTATGATGTTGTTCGGGTTGATGCAGAGAAGAAAGAGAATGAAGTGCAACAGAAGGAGTAAGTTCTGCTGTTGTATTATATTGCACGATTAGTTTACCTACGTCTCTTCTTGATACTAAATACCTTTAACTTCCATGCAGGGATACGGAATTGGAGGACCACAGGATGATGGCTCAATATCTGCCTCTCCTAAGAGATGTTTTACCAACTGCTGCTGTGGAGATTGAAGATGATATTAACAATTATGCTTCCAGACGAGGTTTTGCTCTTTCACTTGTTCTTTTTTTCTTCTATTGGGATGTTCCCCTGTCCTTTGCCCACCACTTCTCTGTTATTTGTGGGCATGATAGTGTGTCAAAATAATGTGAGACATTGCCACCAGATTTATTTAAGAAAAATGAAAAGCAAAAAATGGATAAGAAGTTTGATTGGCTTATGTAATGTACAAATCACTGTCACTGGTGACTTGGATTTTGTTGGTTCATCCTGCATTGCCTTTTATCATCTGAAACTGTCTTGGAAATGTTTATAACTTCCTGGTGCATAGATATATTTTCCTGTACGTTTATATCTATTAAGACTATTCTTGTGGTTCATATTATTTGATGTCGTGCAGCATTTTCAGATGATTATGTTTATGATTTTTATGCTGTTAAGGGTGACGCCAACATTACTGAGGCTGATTCTGCAAGCCAGTTTCCTTTGTAAGACTTCGATCCTTGTGTATGTTTGCTGATCACGATATTTGATATTCTGTTTATGTTTAACAAAAACTGTTCTGCTTGTACAGGGTTCAAGTTGACGATGATGATACCTTCTATAATGGCCCAGATGATTCAGAATATGAAACTGATGATTCTAATGGTATAATATCTTCTCTTTCTCGCACTCACTCCCCTCTCTAGGCGTGATTTTATGCTTAATTCAATTTCTTTTTGAGTCTCAGCGGAGGACAATCCACTCAATGAGTATCCGGATGAAGAGACGTCTGAGGATGGGGATATAAGCAGATCATCTGGTGAGAAATCAGAGGCTGAGAGCAGTTCTTCCAATAACCAATCTGAAGAATGCAAAAGTGGAAGTCATACATATTATAATGAACACGAGGATACAGGGCCATATGACTGGTCGGACAATGCAGATTCATTGTTTGAAGATGACATGTACTTGGATGGTGACTAGGAAATTTATGATGTTGGTTGTTGTAATGGTGATTCGAGGTAAATTTTTTTTTGGTCCATTGTACCTATTCTCTGCCTGTGAATTTTTACTTTCAAACATGTATGGGCAAGTTCTTGTGTATAAACTTGTGTTGCTACTCTATAATCAAACACTCTTCTGCCTTTGCTGAGATCATTAACAATTGGGAACAGCTGTGTTTGGCCCTTAAATGTTCAAATTGTGCTTAGTTTAGCTCTGTATTTGCTGTCATGCTAGCAAAGAATTTTCTATCATGTGTATGGTAGAGCCCACAAAAATATATATGTTCCGTTTGTATGAAGACCTCTGAATTAATATAGCAGTTTTTTATTGCTTGTGAATTGATTTTCTTTGGATGTGTAGAAATGGGATTTTGCTAGAAAGGTTCTGGTATCTTATTTGAACCACTAGAGTGTATGTTAGTACACTCAACTCTATAGAATTGTTTGGTAGTGACAAATGAACAAATTTTGTTGGATGTATTTCTTTGAGAATTTATTTTTACTTAATTTGTTCGATTGGCTATATCATGTGTGTTCAGGCTTTAGCCGACTTGTGTTTTTTTGTTCAAAAAGATCACATGCTGGACTCTATAGAATTTGTTTGGAGGTGACGGGCTAACAAATTTTGTTTCATCTTTCTTGTGGAGAACTTGTTTTACTTAATTTGTTCGATTGATTCTTTGTTCAACCTTTAGCCTATCTATGCATGTTTGTTCAGAAGGAACTATAGTTTTTTACTTGTCGTTATCGATTAATAGAATTCATTAATCATAATTTTTGAATTACGTACAAAATTAGACTTGCTCTTGAACTCGACCATTGATGCAATCAAATTATTTATAGGCGTCTGGGTGGGGAGTGGACCTGACTGGGACAGTGCACATGGGGTGGGGATCAAATTGGGGATGAAGATATGTTATTTTTTTTTTTCAAATCTGTCTTTTTCTCATTTCTTATAAATATAAATGAAAGTGTGTAATCAATCAGGTGTCTGCAGTAACAGTTTAATGCACATTTTAAATGAAATTCCTATGTAAAAATTCATGTGTCACTGCTAAGATTCTGGAGAATTGAAAGGTGGGATGAAAATATTATGAAATTTTCATAAATGCAAGCGGAACGAAGGGGGTAGGTATGTTTTTTTTTTTTTTTTCTAATTCATTTAACAATTTTGTAACGACTGTAAATAATGTTACACCGTGACATTGTATTGATGCTCGTAAACGGTAACAATAACAAGAAATAGAACCCGAAAAAAATCTTGGAATAACATTGTTTATAATTCATATTTCTTAACTAGAAATATTCAGGAGCAGTCCCTAACCTCTGACTTTTGTAGCAAGTTGGCCTCAATCTTTAAAATGGAGTATTTTAGTGCTAGATCATTCAACATATTACACAAGAAGATGAATTATACTGCTTGAACAGGGCCACATGTGCCCTGTTCAAAAAGGGGGTACATGTGGCCCTGTTCAAGCAGCAAGGTCCCAAGGAAGATATATAGTTGATGAATAATGTTGGCCTTGGTAGTGCCATGGCCCTTAATGTGAAAACATATTTAGCAAACCTCCAATCTCTCAATTCAAGACACCCCACTTTTTTTTTTTTTCATTTTAATTGGATATAGGTGTAACCCACATCTTGTGTAATATAATTTTGGAACAAAGTTGAAAATTTATGGATCTATTTTAGTGCTTGTTTGAATAGTATTTTTTGGAGAATGTGATTGAAAAGTAAAGCAATTTTATTGGTTTGTATGTAAAATATTTTATTAAGTGAATATGTGGTGGAGATTGTTTACTATATCAAATAATGTTTGATAAAATGGATGACAAATATGGGCTTAAGATCGATCAATATTGGTCTAGATATGATAGATTGAGGATCAATGCTGCAACTTTCTTGTTTAATTCTTAAATATTTGACGGATCGTGTAAGAATAAACCGGTATAGTAACTTACCCGACTTCCAGGATCCGAGGATAAAGGGTAATTATTGCCACTACAAATTTTATTAAATGTGCGTTTGATTATCAATATTTTCATGGAAAATGTATTTTTTTAAAATCTAAAAGCCTACTTTGTACTGTTTGATTGACATTTTTTTTTCATGGAAAATATTTTCCTACTTTCGGTCACGTGACCATATTTTTTTCAAATTCAAGAAAAATATTGTCTTCAAGGGGAATAAGATTTTATTTTCAGGGAATTCACTCTCTCTCATCTACCTGACTACCCACCAATAAAAAATGGACAAGTATCATTAATTTCTATACAAATAAGCTCTAGGCAATTGAATTGACTAAATTTTATTTTCATTTCATGCAAATTTAATAATCGCAATCAAACGCACCCTAAGGGCTAAGTGCACCATAATTTTTAGTATTTTTCTTATTTACTTAAATAGCTTTAAGTAAAATTACAAAATTAGAGTTTTACCCTAAAATATATTATTATTCCACAAACGAAAACCTAATTTAAATTTTTTTAAACATCTAATTGAAGTTTTTACAATAAACATATTAGAAAGGATATTGAGCATAATTCAACCTAATAAAGTCAGCTTGTTAGGGGAGGATTGCCCTCACCTTATTAAGTGGATCGTGTAAATATTACCAGTCGGATGTGGGACTCTAATGAAACAAAAATACAAGTCACCACTGAAACCGAAAATGGCACCTGCAGACACAATTTGATCACATATACATCATATGCAAGGATTACAAATTTCTCCTAATTACTTTTGAGTAATATATTTAATTGATCTAAAGTTCACCGAATTCGAACTGACAGCCAAATTTTAAATGGAGATTCAAAACCCACATTATAAATTACAAATGTAAGAAAAAAAATCAGGGCTTATAATAAAATATGAATATTGCCCCAATTCACAATGCTCTGGATCAAGCAAATCAACAAACCATAACAAAAATATCGAGTGTAGAAGGTCTTGATTAAGCAATTAAAATTTAATTAGATACAACGACCGTATGAAAATGGAAAAATAAAAAAATCAACCACACATATAATTTCTTGCAGTAACAATATAGTTTGAGGATTTTGATTCGACATTAATAATTTTACTTGAAAAGGACTTAAACTCGATTGCGTAAATGATCTCTCTCTCCCTCTCTTTCTCTCTCTCTTTTAATTTCGAGTTACGAATAATGATATGCTTGGAGCAGATACAACAGAAAAAGTCAAAATTCCGACGAAAAGGATTGCCTCCGATGAGATTATTTTTGGGCTAATACTAAATCAAATGATCTAATTAAATAGGACATAAATGATTGAGAAAAATGATGAGTAACTTGGGAGAATATATACACCACAATATTGTATTTTGATTTCATTTTTAGTTTTTATTGTAATAGAAGTATGATAGTAAATTCGTTGAGGGTGTGTATTTATTGAAAAAATATTTAATTGTGATGTGATTATGATGTGGTGTAGTAATTAAATTTTGTGGTGGTAATATGATTATTTGAGAGTAAATGGCTCTTGACCCCGGCCATTTACCAAAAAGGCCATTAACCTGATTTTCCTTTGAAAAAAAAAAGAACTATTTTTTTTTTTTAAATCTCACATTTGCCCTTGATCTCAAAAGATAGAAATAGAGAAGAAGAGGTGGAAAATCCAAAATCGACTTGCACTATTCATAATCTTCATCTTCATCTTCATCTTTATCGTCTTCTAAACATTTAATCATTGTTAGTTGAACAGCACACATACAGATATAGAAAACCTACAGATACTCACAAGGGGGTGGATGGATAATTTTTTTTCTTTTTTTTTTTATTGCGTGGGACCCACCCTCAGCGACAGGGTGTAAATATCCTGTAAAGATAATTAAATTTTGTGGTGGTAATATGATTATTTGAGAGTAAATGGCTCTTGACCCGGCCATTTACCAAAAAGGCCATTAACCTGATTTTCCTTTGAAAAAAAAAAAGAACTATTTTTTTTTTAAATCTCACATTTGCCCTTGATCTCAAAAGATAGAAATAGAGAAGAAGAGGTGGAAAATCCAAAATCGACTTGCACTATTCATAATCTTCATCTTCATCTTTATCGTCTTCTAAACATTTAATCATTGTTAGTTGAACAGCACACATACAGATATAGAAAACCTACAGATACTCACAAGGGGGTGGATGGATAATTTTTTTTTTTTTTTTTTTATTGCGTGGGACCCACCCTCAGTCTGTCCCACATTTATAGGACATTTCTGAATAGTTCTAGACAAATGGATTAATCCAAATTTTAATATGTCCCCAACGCTAGATTAAAAAATTGGGTTGTCTGTTACAGATGGTCTCATATTACTAGAAAGAATTAGTGAAAAAGCAGCGAGGTCTCATATTACTAGAAATAAAACGCTGCTGAATCATTATTATGGAGGACGATCAACTGGAGGCTGTATTCAATAGTTGCTCCGACATACTGGACAAACTGAAGCTAGAATTGGTGTTTATCCTGGATAGTGTATTGAGGTGTAGACACCATAAGACGTCTACCGATCTTTTTATCGATCTGATAAGAGTACAGCCGCAGCGCATTTGCCTTTGGATAGTGCTCCTAGTTGGTGCAACTCATGGCATAATTGGTTGTGGAATACAATATCTTTTTTCTTATAAATCAAATCTCATCTCTTTCTTACTGGCAAGTTTTTCTACTAACTGTTTTAGCAGGAAACAGCATTTGTTGGATCAACACAGTTTCTTACATAGTTTCGATAAAAAAATCCCCCCTTGATCGACAGGTTGCTACCGGTATATGCACTAGCTATAGAGGTTTTAGTGCAAAAATTTATACAGATATAGTAGATGTTGTAGCTCCAAATTCTCCTTCAAAAAGAGCCAAATTGTTTCTTCTTTTAAACTCTGTTGTTTCCTTAGGATTTTGTATTCTAGCAGCACCACTGGCTAGAGATGTTCATGTTGGAAAATCAAGAAAATTAGCAGGAGGGTTCATTTTTATG